CTCTTAAAATGTCCTCTCAAAATGTCCTCGCAGAATATCCAAAATGTCCTCTTAAAATGTCCTCTTAAAATGTCCTCCCAAAATGTCCTCTTAAAATGTCCTCTCAAAATGTCCTTGCAGAATATCCTAAATGTCCTCTTAAAATGTCCTCAAAATGTCCTTGCAGAATATCCAAAATGTCCTCTTAAAATGTCCTCTCAAAATGTCCTTGCAGAATATCCAAAATGTCCTCTTAAAATGTCCTCTCAAAATGTCCTTGCAGAATATCCAAAATGTCCTCTTAAAATGTCCTCCCAAAATGTCCTCTTAAATTGTCCTCTCAAAATGTCCTTGCAGAATATCCAAAATGTCCTTTTAAAATGTCCTCTTAAAATGTCCTCTCAAAATGTCCTCCCAAAATGTCCTCTTAAAATGTCCTCCCATAATGTCCTCCCAAAATGTCCTCCCAAAATGTCCTCTCAAAATGTCCTCTCAAAATGTCCTCTTAAAATGTCCTCCCAAAATGTCCTCGCAGAATATCCAAAATGTCCTCTTAAAATGTCCTCTCAAAATGTCCTCTTAAAATGTCCTCTCAAAATGTCCTTGCAGAATATCCAAAATGTCCTCTTAAAATGTCCTCTTAAAATGTCCTTGCAGAATATCCAAAATGTCCTCTTAAAATGTCCTCTTAAAATGTCCTCGCAGAATATCCAAAATGTCTTCTTAAAATGTCCTCTCAAAATGTCCTCTCAAAATGTCCTCGCAGAATATCTAAAATGTCCTCTTAAAATGTCCTCTCAAAATGTCCTCTCAAAATGTCCTCGCAGAATATCCAAAATGTCCTCTTGAAATGTCCTCTCAAAATGTCCTCTCAAAATGTCCTCGCAGAATATCCAAAATGTCCTCTTAAAATGTCCTCTTAAAATGTCCTCGCAGAATATCCAAAATGTCCTCTTAAAATGTCCTCTCAAAATGTCCTTGCAGAATATCCTAAATGTCCTCCCAAAATGTCCTCTTAAAATGTCCTCCCAAAATGTCCTCGCAGAATATCCAAAATGTCCTCCCAAAATGTCCTCTTAAAATGTCCTCCCAAAATGTCCTCGCAGAATATCCAAAATGTCCTCCCAAAATGTCCTCTTAAAATGTCCTCTCAAAATGTCCTCGCAGAATATCCAAAATGTCCTCTTAAAATGTCCTCTCAAAATGTCCTTGCAGAATATCCTAAATGTCCTCTTAAAATGACCTCAAAATGTCCTTGCAGAATATCCAAAATGTCCTCCTTAAATGTCCTCTCAAAATGTCCTCTTAAAATGTCCTCTCAAAATGTCCTTGCAGAATATCCAAAATGTCCTCTTAAAATGTCCTCTTAAAATGTCCTCCCAAAATGTCCTCTTAAAATGTCCTCTCAAAATGTCCTTGCAGAATATCCTAAATGTCCTCTTAAAATGTCCTCAAAATGTCCTTGCAGAATATCCAAAATGTCCTCTTAAAATGTCCTCTCAAAATGTCCTTGCAGAATATCCTAAATGTCCTCTTAAAATGACCTCAAAATGTCCTTGCAGAATATCCAAAATGTCCTCCTTAAATGTTCTCTCAAAATGTCCTCTTAAAATGTCCTCCCAAAATGTCCTCTTAAAATGTCCTCTCAAAATGTCCTCGCAGAATATCCTAAATGTCCTCTTAAAATGTCCTCAAAATGTCCTTGCAGA